AAAAAAAAAAAAAAAAAAATGAAACTATATTTGTACAAAGTGTATGCCAAGTACTGATTTACAACACATGGTCCTGGCCTTCAGGTTACTTATTGTCTAGTGGGGCTTTGGGGTAAGAAAATAGACTATTATAATATGTATACGGTAGCATTTATATTAAAAATCTTTATCCTAACCATTTCAAATTTCAGACTAGTGCATTTAGGGTTTTTTTTTGTAAATATACCCATAATTTTATCAGTCTCTATTTGCAGAGTCAGTTTTGTTTTATTTTTAAACAAAACTGATGTTTCTCAGGAGATGTTTGGACAAAAAGAACAAGTGAACAGCAGCCCTTGGATGGGACATCAGTTTGGACTTGATAGATTAAATGACAGAGGCTGGCCGGGTGTGGTAGCTCACGCCTGTAATCCTAGCACTCTGGGAGGCTGAGGCAGGAGGACTGCTTGAGCTCAGGAGTTGGGGGACCAGCCTGAGCAAGAATGAGACTCCATCTCTTCTAAAAAATAGAAAGAAATCTGGCCAGGCAATTTTATTTTTTTTAATAAGTAAATAAATGACAGATGCTTAATAAGTGATATTGCTTTTCTGTTATCAAGTACAATGTTTTCATAATGAATATTGTCTGATACTTATTTTTAATTCCTTTTCTTTTTTCGTTGCTTCCAGTTAAGGGTAGAACTATAATGTTAAAAGCTGACCTTATTGTTTTCTTTTGTACAGTTTATATTCAGAGGTGCTGGGATTATCCTGTACTATAACCTAACTCCCAAATGTTAGTATTTTAAGTGTTACAACAACTGCTAATAAATGTGGTCTATAATGTTTGATTTTTTTATCACCTTTGTAGATTATTATGTAAATTCCCATAATACTCTTACATGCTGCTTTTAAAATGAAAAACCTTATAGGAAATAGCTTCTCCCCTTAATATCTTACAGTATATAAGGAGCTGTATAATGCTTGGGAGGATGCCCAATTTGATGCTGATGGCTAAAGAAAGCCTTTACTCTCAACTGCCAATGGACTGTTTTACAATGCCATCTTATTCCAGACGTATTTCCACAGCTACACCATATATGAATGGAGAAACATCTACAAAATCTCTTTGGGTTATAAATAGTGCACTCAGAATAAAAATTCTTTGTGCAACCTATGTGAATGTAAATATTCGAGACATTGATAAGGTAAGGTCAAATGCTTATGCTTATTATTTTATATAAATTATTTTATATAAACCTTTTTTATTGAACTATGCAATAATCGGTTGACCTGTAGCATGTTTTCAGATGGCTAAAAAAAAACCCCAAATCTCAGAAAATAAAAACATATAATGAATTCTATTTGAGTTTCCATCTATATTAGCTATTACTCAGCTCACAGTCCTTTGTCAATAATTCTGATATCCATAATTCTAGCTCTTAAAACCAAAAGTTTGGCCAGGCGCAGTGGCTCACGCCTGTAATCCGGCATTTTGGGAGGCCAAGGATCACTTGAAGCCAGGAGTTCAAGACCAGCCTGAGCAACATAGCGAGAGCCGTCTCTACAGATAAATTTAAAAATTAGCCAGGCATGGTAGCACATGCCTATAGCTCTAGTTACTCAGGAGGCTGAGGCAGGAGGATTGCTTGATCCCAGGCCTTCAGGTTATAGTGAGCTATGATCACACCACTGCACTGCAGCCTGGGCAAGAAAGTGTGACCCTGCCTCTAAAAAAAAAAAAACCAAAAGTTTTACAGAATTCATTTGGCAGAAAAACCTGACCCAACTTGAAGTGAGGCTTTTTATAATCTTTATTAATCCCACTTAGTATAAATATTCATGTGTCTTATTACAGAAATATTAATGTCATTATGGGGTGCTGCTCCAGCTGCTAAGTGTTTTAAGTAATATTTAGTATATACCAATTTAGCTTTCTAAAATATGACAAACTCTGAATTACATACCTGGCTTAAAGGAACTGTGTGCCTACATTAATTTTTTAGTAGTCTAATGTCCTCATTGTTATTAATGGATGAAGGCAGCAACAAATTTTGGTGAAGAATCTACATCAGTATTAACTTACTATGTACGTGAAGAAAAGGAGGACAGAAAAGCATATCTGAACAAAAATTTTATTGTTTATTATTTGGTTCTATCTAATGTGTGTGCATATGTGTATGAATGAGTGTATGTATTTGTATACACATACTTTTTTTTTTTAGATCTATGTTCGAACAGGCATCTACCATGGAGGAGAACCCTTATGTGACAATGTAAACACTCAGAGAGTACCTTGTTCCAATCCCAGGTAAGGAAGTAAATGGATTTCCAGTTCCAAAGATCATATTAGCGTTTAGCAATGTGATCAATAAAGTAGTGTATTTTACATCATTAGTTTTATACAACTTTTGTAAGTTGCCAGACATTTACCTACATACCATATCTGTCAAATGAGCATCAATCACAGGATCACTTTATTGACTATTTCTAAAATCTTACCAGACAAGTTCTTCTGATTCTGTCTTCCCATTGTATCAAGGAGAGAACAGGATATGGTTATAACTTTGTGCTGATAATTCCCTACATTAGGTCAAAAACCTAGCATTTTCTTCTTTTCTTATCTCCATCATCATTTATGTGAAGGAGAAGTAAGAGTTGGCAAAGAACTTCACAGCCAAACTACTCTGAGGCAGTTTCCTTCAAACCACTCCCAAGAATAGATATTTATGGCATCCAAGTAGAGGATCTTTGGGAACAAA